ATTTTAAGAATAACAATTTATATTTATACACATCTCTGTCTGTAACCTTTATTAACATTCTTAAGACAGAAATAACAATATATATTTGCTATGCACACTTTTTAAATCATGTTTTATGCACATTTACTTTATATTTGTGAAGACATGCTTAAAATATTTTATCCCATGTTTACCCCTTTATCCCGTGGATATGACTCATTGGATAAATTTTTCATAATCCACAGTTGTGACGTCACAATGGTTTTTGCGTTAGTGCGATGAAGTAAAATAAAGTGGAGTCCTATATAAAACAGTGTAAAACATTGGTTGTGAAGTATTAAACATGGGATAAAAAGAATCTCCCATGATTTGTAGTTGGATATGATTTTTATCCAACTCGTTGTGTGTTTTTATCCCCTCGCCAAGGCTCGGGGATAAAAAAAACACACAACTCGTTGGATAAAAATCATATCCAACTACAAATCATGGGAGATCCTATATTTATTTTTGATGGTGATGGTATGGGATGAGGTCTATATATGTAGTATAAAGGGACCTAATTGTGTTGCCTGCAGAGCAGAGCAACACTTAGGGATCACTTTACCTGGCATCTGTTTGTCACAAATACTAATTTAGAAGATATATATTCCCATTCTAATGCAATTTATAAATTTTGTTTGATGTTTATATCATATTTTTTTGCGTTTTGAAACATGTCATAAAGGGTTGTCTTTTTGCATTGATCATTCTATTATGACGTCACAATCAAAAGCTTTTACTCTCCTTAATACTTGTTTAACTGCTTCAAACACCAGTCTAATAGCCAATCAAAATTGTTTTACAAAACAATTGCATTAGAATGATATTCTACTGGGTCTTACTATAGGTGTTAGGAGTGAAACGGTTCACCGCGGTATCGATTCACCGCGGTATTTTTTCTCGGTTTGATACACGGTGCAAAATCTCTCATTTTCGGTTCGGTTCATTTTTCGGTCGGGATAGTTATTCAGTCGGGTTTGGCATAAGGTAAAACACGTTACTCGGTATAAATAAGTATAGAAAACGTAAATTTTTGATGATTGATAGCTTGTAAAATAATTTTTGACAGTCAAATAATTTTAATCAATTTCTTCTAGTCAATTTGCAAATAAAATTCGTAAAATATGTGACTAGATTTAGAAAAAGAAAGCACAAAACAACGTTGAATTTGTTTCCTTCTATCAAAATGTATCGTATCGAAAATAACCGAACCGAGACATAATTATACAATACGTATCGAACCGTGAAGGAGGTGTATCGTTTCACCCCTAATAGGTGTATGTTTTTTAGCTCACCTGAGCTGAAAGCTCAAGTGAGCTTTTCTGAACACATTTTGTCTGGCGTCCATCTAGCTGTCCGTCTATCCATCCGTAAGTCTGTCTGTAAACTTTTCACATTTTCGACTTCTTCTCAAGATCAACAGGGCCAATTTCGACCAAACTTGCCACAAAGCATCCTTTGTTTAAAGGAATTCAAGTTTGTTCAAATGAAGGGCCACACCCTCTTCCAAGGGGAGACAATTAAGAATTGGTGAAAATATCTCTTAAATCTTCTTCTCAAGAACCATTGGGCCAAAAAAATTGAAACTTATGTGAAACCTTCAATACATAGTGTAAAATCAAGTTTGTTCAAATCATGACCTCCAGGGATAGAGTGGGGCCACAATGGAGGATCAAGGTTTTTACATAGGAATATATAGAATAGAAAAATCTCTCAAGAACAAAAAAGCCACAATTAGTCCTACTGAAATTATCCTCAGGTAGTGTAGATTTAAGTTTGTTCAAATCATGACCCCCGGGGGTAGGTTGGGGCCACAAAGGGGGATCAAAATTTTACATAGGAATATGTTGAAATTTTTTTAAAAAATCTTTTCAAGAACAAAGCCAGTAGGGGTAGGTTGTGGCTAGAACAGGCGATAAAAGCCTTACATATGAATATATAGGAGAATAAATCTGCTGACGAAGAACAATAGGGCCATATAGACTCAGGTGAGCGTTGTGGCCCAGAAGCCTCTCGTTTTATACCCTTAGATTTATTTGAATGCTTAATGATGCTATAAAGCAGGTGACATATTTGTTTCTTGGAACAAGTTAGTTTTCTTAATTTCTTTATAACCTGATAATATATTTAACAGCTCTATCTCTTCTTGCTAAAATCTCTGATAACCCTTAATCTTGAATACTTTCTATTCTAACATTTCCTAACACCACTGCACCGGATTAACATCATTACAGGTAGTGTACGGACAGTCTAAGACATGGGTTCAATTCCCATCACTGCCAAAGTTGAATACTGTATACAGGGTTATTTTCGCCCCGTGTTATTTTCGCCCTTTCACACTTGCAAACAGGTTTGCCCCGTTTTAAATTCGCCCAGTCATAGTTTTGTTTAAGAAATAATACTGTATTCCTCTAATTCGCCCCGTTTTAAATTCACCCAAATGAGGGTAGGGCGAAAGGGGCGAAAATAAAAAGGGGGCGAAAATTTCCCTGTATACAGTAAATTTATGTATGACTTAGAGCCTAATTACAGTAATGAGTTGTAGCACACTGCATGACTGAATTTTTGCACAAAGAGAAAGAATGTGTTTAACCTCACTGTTACATGTTGTTTCTCTCACTTAAAAAAAGAGTTATTTTATAATTTTACTGATGAAGTAATGATAACTTATTTTATAGTATCAGTATTTAACATGTTTAAATTCTTGAATGTAATGTTAACAGAAAAAATACAGAATGTTTTCTTCTTTAAGTTAGATCACTGCAATATTTTCATAATATATATTTACAGTGAAACTTGTCTAATCTGGATATTGTATAATCCAAAATCTTGTGTATTGCAATGACAACTTTTAGTCCCTTTGAGTAAATTCAACTGTTTAAAATGTTGTTTAATCCGGAATGTTGTCTAATCCGGCCAATTTCTATGGAACTACAAGTTTCACTGTACATGATTTTTTCATGCTGCATCAAAAAGTTCTTTTCTGTATTATAAGGAACTTGAATCAGAGTCTATGGAGAACATTTTGAAAGAAATAACCGAAAGGCAGAGTGTACAACTAGATTATGTAGATGAACATCAGATACAACTAATTCAACAGGATGAGTATTTACATCAGTATGGTTTGTATAGATCCCATATCCAAGGAGATGGTAACTGTTTGTTTCGTTCGATTAGTTTTGGTTTGTATGGCACTGAAGACCATCATAGCTCTTTAAGGGAATTAGCTGTAAATCATATTCAACAAAACTTAGAAGACTTCGGGTTTTATTTGTACGGAGATGGTGAATTGCCCATGAACGACTCAGAAATTGTTACGTTTCTCAATAATTTAAGACAATTAGGAACATTTGCCGGACAAGAATCAATAGTGGCTTTGTCAAGAGTGTTAGGTTTAAATATACTTGTAACCATTGGAGGGGATTCTCAAAGTCCAGAGGTTAGGACATTAGAACACAATTATCATAATTCAGATCACATTATTCATTTGGTTTGGACAAGGGCTGGAGGTGGGCATTATGAAACTGTAGTAGAGAACCCAGCATTAAAAAAACAAACAACCCCTACTAGGTCATCAGAAAACACCAACAGGATTTCAAACAATGATAAAAGTAATTACAATTGGAGGTCTGATTCAAAAACTTGCAAACCAATCAGTTTAGATGTGTTAGAAGATATTAAGAACTACAAAATTCAAAATCAAAATATTGAACATTCTTATGGAAGACAAAATGTAGGAACTAATGTAAATTCAGGGTCTCAGACAAAATGCCCTACTGATGCGAAAGAATTTTCTACAACAAAGCAACAATGATGCGACACCAAAAGTTGGTTCATGATAAAGAAAATAAAAACAAAATTCCTTGCTCTATTTCATCATGTTCTTTGACATTTCATAATGTGGATGTTTTAGTTGACCATCTTAAAAGTTTTCATGGAGCATGTATAGAAGTTGAGAATCTCAGTTTTGAAAGCATAGATTTATTTGATCAGTTCAAAGATCAGGAGAGTATTAGAATTCACTGTAGGTATGTGAAGCAGAGGAAAAATAAAATCAATAAGGATGGCAGTCAGTCCTATACTCTTGTTTGTCACAGGGATGGGGTAAAACGGGTTCATTTGAAAAAGGGTAAGAATTATTCAGGAAAACGCAAAGAAAACATAAAAGGGTCTTGCAAAATTCAAAAGTTATGCCCTTCTAGAATGTCTGTCAAAATTAAATCAGATGGTTCTGTTTCAGTGAAGTATATTAAGTCACATACACACTCAATTTCTTTTGAAGAAAGTAAATTCTTACCTTTACCAGATTCTATCAAGTCAGAAATTTGCACAATGTTAGCTCTCAAAATTCCAATTAACACTATACTAGACAAAATTAGAGAAAATGTAGGCGAACGCAACCAACGTGATGACTTAAGTAAATTAAAATATTATCATTTGTTGGATAGAAAAACTATACATAATTTGAAGAAAACTATTGTTGATTCATCTGTTATAAGACATTCTGATGATGCCACTTCAACATTTCTGAAAGTAAATGAATTAAGAACTGAATTATATGATCCAGTTTTATTGTATAAGCAGCAAAATATCAATGATCCGTCAACAGGGCTTCAGAAGGAGGATTTTATGCTTGCTCTAATGACCAAGCAGCAGCTTGAAATGTTTGAAAAATTTGCTCCCGTTATACTTTGTATGGATTCGACCCACAAAACAAATGTTTATTCTTTTAAATTGATTACTCTTTTGGTCTTAGATGAATTTAGGCATGGTTACCCTGTTGCATTTTGTATAAGTAACAGGGAGAGTGAAGATGTTATCTCTGTCTTTTTGAATTCTGTCAAAATAAAAGCCCCTGATACAAAAATTAATATTCTTATGACTGATGATGACAATTCAGGTTGGAATGCTGCTAAGAATATTTGGGGGGGGGGGGGGGGGGACATCAGACATTTTCTCTGTCATTGACATGTTCATGAAAATTGGAAGAAAAAGATTCGACAACTTATTAAGGACCAAAAATTACAAGCAGAAATTTATGCTTACTTGTGTGCTTCTTTACAAGCAGAGTCTGAAATTCTTTTTTCTCGTTATGTCCAGGAATTGTCAAAAAAATTAGAAGAAATAAATCCAGAATTTCTACAATATTTTCAAAATTACTACTTGAGTAGAAAAGAAATTTGGGCAAAGTGTTATAGGAAAGGGGAATTTGGCCATGTACATACAAATATGTTTGTTGAAAGTTTCCACAATCAACTAAAAACAGTATTTTTTGAAGGTAAACGCAATAGACGGATTGATGTTTTGATTGATACCCTCTTACAAATTGAAAAAAATCTATTCATGACACGTTTACGTCGTATGAGATTTAATTTGCCCTCAGGAGAAAATATAGATAATGCTGATCGTCATCAAAAAAGTTTAGATATTGATGACTCAAGTATTTTACAAATTAATGACAATTTTTTTACAGTAACATCATCAGATTCTACATATGACATCAGGAAACTAGTTGGCACATGCAATGAGTTGTATTGTTTCAACAAGTGCAAAAAATTTCCTTGTGTTAACCTGTGTAAACATCTTTTTTCATGTTCTTGCCCAGATTACAAAAATGGTCATGTCTGTAAACATTTGCACAAAATACATGCAGTTGTCAATTTGAATATACATACAAATAAACCATCTAATACAGATGTAGATTTTACACCAGAACAACATTTAACAGATAATGATACGGGTACCTCAATATGTGTGCAGGATTATTCTGATCAAAAGATTCAACAGATTGAAAAAAAATTAAACATAATTGCTGAACAGATTAGGAACAATCCTTCAGTTAAAAAACACAGACTAGATAATATTTTATGTGCTTTAGACCATATCATTTCCGCAAATGAGGGTAGCAATAAAATTCACAATTCTATAAAGGATTTCAAAAAGACAGAGAAGATTTCTGCTAATGCAAAAAATTTATTACAGCCTCGATTTAGACTAACTTCTAAAAAGCCTGGTAGGATTCCAAACCCCCATTTTAAGAAACCAACTGTTGAGGAAATGAGGAATCTTCTCCCTAATGACTCAGGGTAAGTCCTCTCTTACAGGAATAAGTTTTTAGGCAAAGCATGTATTTCAGACCTATTTAAAATCTTGAATGCCAAGATGATGTTATGCAAATTGAACAAGATGTTAACCAAAAATATGTTAGTGTGTATGGAGGTTAGGGCTTCAATGCCACAGAACATGATGCTGTGACATTGGAAATTACTGTTTTTTAATCATTTTTTAAAATCACCATTTATAAATGTATATGAAAAATAACAGTTTTATTCAATACTTTATCAACAATTACAGATCATCTCAAGTCTCCCCAGTGCCTGTTTCCTTGCCTGGACCATCTGTGGCACCATATCCTCCCCTAAGACTAGTTCCCCAAACAACAAACACACTTCCTACACAGCCACCACAGCAAAGTGTATTCAGGTATATTTAACATGTCTTGTGCACATAACCTTCTCTTCTGAACTGTAATTTGTAAGGTTTTTATGAGCTTGTTTTAAAAAGCAAGTACAATATGATCACATTTTATACTGAAATGTAGTGTTGGAACTGGATTGGGTCAGCCAACATGGATGAGAGTACCACCCTCTATGCTTGGAAGGAGGATTGTTACCACCATTAATGGCAAGAAGCAGGTCATTGTATTCACAAATGGAGGAGAAGGAAATGGTATCAATTACAAATATCTGCTATCTCATTTGGCTGCTCTTTTTGCTATTGTTTTGAATGATTACCTGTAACAAGAAATTTAACTTTTTTTCAGATGCAGCTGAGAAAGATGGGGAGTAAAATGGGGTTTAGAAATTCCTTCAGAGTTACATTTTAGGGGTATATAAGGAATGTGAGTCACCATGTCCTTCTGTCTATCCATCCAACTTACATTTCTGACTGGTACTGGGTAACATTTTAGAAAAGAACTTATGGAGGTTCAGACTTGGCACAAAGATTACTCTTGACATGACGGTGTCATGTCCCTGAAATGAGATCATATACCATTGTATAGGTCACATCACCTTCAATATAATGTTTTTGGACCTGGTAAATAAATTTTACCACACTTGAGCTGAAAACTCAAGTGAGCTTTTCTGATCACTTGTTGCCTAGTGTCTTTCCATCTGACTGTAAACTTTTCACTTTTTCAATTTCTTCTTGAGAACCACCTGGCCAATTTTTAATTCAAGTTAGCATAGACTCTCATTTACAAAGGGGATTTTAATTTGTTAATTAGGCTTTGGTTACTCAGGTGAGCATTGTGGCCCATTGCCTGTCTTGTTTCAAGGATACATTACAACTCATACTTAGCACAAAGGTTGCTCCTGAAAAGAGTTGATTAAGGCCAGGATCACATAATCTGGTACATAGTTTTGATGATGGAACAAAATCACCAAAACAATGGGGGTATTAGTCCATTTATGACATCTGTAGTTAGGTTTAGGATCTTTAAATGATTGATCTGCTTCTTTCTCTTGGTCTCTGGGTGATATTCACTGATAATTTGTAAGGATAAGGGTTTTTAGAGGATGAAATCATAGGGCAGTGGATAGGATCAGAGTCTTGAGAGAATGTTTGTAGGACAGAAAGTCAGCCCAGTAGCAGGTTGCCAAGGGTTGAAGGACAAATTTCCATCTGAAGTCTGAGGCCCCTGTTCTGCATCATTCTCTTGGTCTCTGGGTGATATTCACTGATAATTTGTGAGGATAAGGGTTTTTAGAGGATGAAATCATAGGGCAGTGGATAGGATCAGAGTCTTGAGAGAATGTTTGTAGGACAGAAAGTCAGCCCAGTAGCAGGTTGCCAAGGGTTGAAGGACAAATTTCCATCTGAAGTCTGAGGCCCCTGTTCTGGATCATTCTCTTGGTCTCTGGGTGATATTCACTGATAATTTGTGAGGATAAGGGTTTTTAGAGGATGAAATCATAGGGCAGTGGATAGGATCAGAGTCTTGAGAGAATGTTTGTAGGACAGAAAGTCAGCCCAGTAGCAGGTTGCCAAGGGTTGAAGGACAAATTTCCATCTGAAGTCTGAGGCTCCTGTTCTGCATCATTCTCTTGGTCTCTGGGTGATATTCACTGATAATTTGTTAGATGTTTAAAGGCTAATTCATTAGCTTATGCATTTCAATTTTGAAAATTGCTTTTTCTTTTTTATTTATTGTTATTTTTTCTATTGACATTACTTACTGTTCCCATTGTTTATTTTATTTATTTATCCTGAACCAAAAACTTGTGTTAGCTTTCTGATTGTAAATTAATGTTTAGATCTTTTTGCTGACTTTGTATATCATATATTGCCTAAAATGTTGTACAGTGAAAACCCTGCATTCAGTGTCTGTCACTCGTGGTAGGTTGAGTTTTGATACATAAAAAATATCATTGTATATAGAGATTTTGACTTATAACGATCTGCATCAATAGACCACTTTTCATTCTTGATCGATAAAAAGTTTCTTAAAATCAACATCTCAAATGTTAAGTAATCAAGGTAATTTTGTAAGGAATACATTTATTCTTCAATCTAACCAACCCACCCTCCCCGAAAAAAAAGCAAAACATCTCAAGTCAACCAAAGTTTGGTGCTAAAGCAAGATATTTTCTACCCTTTAAAGATGGCTTACCAAAAGTTTCTTTCTCAAGCTACATACCATATATGGTTAAAAAAGAAAACTTGTACTAGCTATTATGAATATTGTACTTTAATTTTTTATCTCAAGAATTTAATCTGCCAGTCTTCAGATCTTACTGCTTAATTTTTCCATATAGACCCTCTTAGAAAATTCATATACCTAATACATACCCATGTTAATTCAAGCCAAATGTTGAGCAAAATATTTCTCAATGATACTGTATGTGTATATTTTAAAAAGCAATACTTGATACGAAACTGCTTGACTGCAGGTACCTGTAAGTAAAGTTAATGTATTGAAATGATACATTGAATCAGTTACTATATGTACTTGAATTGAACATTGATAGGTTTGATAATAAAGAAAATTCTAACACAGGATCCATATGATAGGTAAGATTAAAAGATTTTATTAAATTACATTTTTATTGAAATAAATTTGAAGGCTGGCACCATGTTTTTTAACAGGATAACATCTTTAGGTGAAATTGATATACAAGTAATTCTTTACTTGATTATTTTTTGCATGCTTTTCTTCTGAAACCTTTGATAGGCCCTTTTTCAGAACAGTTCTTTTTTTTTTTCAAAGGTTTCAGTTTTTTTTTTTACAATGTTGACAATACTTATTTAATAGTTTATCTTTAATTAATACATTTATTTTGAAAACGATTTTTACATGAATCCACTATTTAATTAGTATATTAAATACCCGTGGATGTTTAAATGTGTCTTAAATTAAGTGTGAAATCATAGTGAAAATTTACATTTCCTTCAAGAAAATGTTTGTTTTAAAAATTTTCTTGAAAGCATATTTGCATTTAAATAAAAATATCACATGTATGTACCATCTACTGTAAATTTAACTAAAGATTACATGTTAATTTTCTTTGATAATCTTCCAAAATGTAGACAATTCTGAGCACACTGTTTCTATTATTATTATTTAAAAGGGCCGAAACCTTCTTGGTGCTTCAAATTTGTAGATTTAAAAAAAATACTATAATTTTCTGAGAAAAGTTTCATATGTTTTGAACCATTTATGCACCAGGAAGGTCTCAGGTTATAAATATGTGTTCTCTTACCTGACTGATGAGGCCCAAAGAGAACATTTAAATATCAGTATTACACAATCTTTTTTTTTTTTATTTAAACCATGTTATAAAAAGTCAAAGAGGTGCTGATTGTTAATTTGATAATATACTGATGCATTTGGATTTTATATAATTATATAGGTGAACCTATTACAAAGACTTCTCTACTACAATGCTCACAGTGTCAGTCAGACTGAAAGGTGACAGTTATATGAAATTATATCAAATTATAACAAATATGAGTGTGTGTGAAGCAGTTCTGAAATTATGAAGCTGGATTGGTCTTCCCACCTCAGTCAGAACTTTATCACTTGCAGTAATTTAAATTTTGGCTATTTATTAATAATAGGACTATTGTACATTGTACTGATAAAATAATGAATTTTATTCTGACAATTCCTTCAAATTATTAGGAAAGGGTAAAGGGAAAAAGTTTGGGGGAAAAATAGATCTGACAATCATATTAACAATATTAAACAGTCAATATATGTAAAATATATGTAAAATTATCATGACTGTGTTGAAAACCCTTAAGTTACTACATTTTGTTCAACCTTTTGGATATATTTATATACACAGACTTGTGTGTATATTCCTCTCCATCTACCGGGTATATTTTAGAACCTGTAAAAATTCCCTTCCAATGTATATACATGTATATATAATCATATATATTTGTGCTCTTGTGGGTCATGCATAAAAGAGAAATCTTACCCACTTAATTAATATGCATATACATTTATCATTATTTTGTTGACAGCCTTAGTCCCAATATATATGGGTTCTGAGATAAAATAAAACTTGCCTCTTTTCTTTCCTTCATTGTATATATTGTGAGTACGTGTCTTTATGTGTGTATTGGGAGGGGGGGGGGGGCACCGGCACTGGTTTCGTTTACAGGGCACCCCCTATACGTAGGAATGCCCTGTACACGAAAGGTACAGGCCGGGGGGGGGGGGGGTATACTATATACCGTAGACTACAACAAGTTTTCTTTTTGTAAACATAGGGATAATTTTTAATTATTTGGGGATTCTGGAGATATTAATAGGTTAACTGCAAGGTAAAGCTGGCGGGGGGGGGGGGGGGGGGGTGTCTGTTTAGCTCTCTCGGTCTTGGTATTTTTGAGCAATTATGCATTGTGTTCGCATTCCAAAAATATTATAAATATTTGATATATTGAGTAGTACAAAAATATTCTAAGATAAAACTTACTGGAAACAGACAGCAGTTTTGATTTATTCACGAGAATAATATACTTTCGACAGAAGCAGCCAAGGTTACTTTCGCTTTGTGTGTGACGTCACAATTATGGTCACATGGTGTGCAGGGAGCTGCCTTTAGACTCGTTCAAATGAAACTGTTTACACCACCGTTTCTGAATGCTCTGAAAATATATAGAGGCAAACCATTACCAATTTTGTCATGTCTTCAATTCAGACATGAAAAGAAATACTCAAGCTTTTTGCCTGGTAAAACTGTAAGGATAGGATGTGCAAGCGGTTTCTGGGGTGATACTGCAGTGTCGGGTACGTTGTTTACCTTTGATGTTAATATTCGACACCAGGGCATTTGGTACCTTCATTAATATAATGACACCAACACAAACAAACCAAAAAAAACAACAACAACAACAACAACAAACATACAAAAATAAACAAAAACAAAACAAGTAAAACAAAACAAAGTCAAATAAAACTAATTTGTTTTATTATAAAAACAATGAATAGAATACAGAAAGATATTAAGGGTCTTTCATATTCAGTGGAAGACCCTTCTTTTATTCTTTTTCTTTTTTCACTTTACAGTTCACCAGAGCTGAAGGCTGAAGTGAACTTTTCTGATTGAAAAGTGTCCAGCGTCCGTCTGTCATATATTGTCTAAACTTTTCATGTTTTTCGATTTCTTTTTAACAACTGAGGAATATGTAGGAAAAAATCTTTAAAAACCTTCTCAAGAACAGCAAAGCCATGCTTATAGTCTTAATATGTTGATGGTGCGACTGTGAGGGCAAACACAGGTGTGTATTGCTGGATCCCTATTCATTCAGTTTTAACTTAGATCGCTTCAAACTGCACGAGACCTTTAGAACATCTAGACTGTGATGTCACATTAGTTATCATAACGAAGACTAAAAAGTGCAAATTTTAACAAAGAACGTTTAAT